CTAGGTCAGGGGTGGGCAACCCCTGGCACGCGTGCCAAACATGGCACGCCAGTAACTTTTGCCAGCACGAGAAACCCTCTCTTATAATCTTCCATTTACAATTTTTTTTCTTAATATCGACTTTTTTATTTTTCAGATAAATTCAGTGTAGGTGCATCTTAGATAAATAAATAATTTTACATAACAAGTTATCTTAAAGACCATAGACATGGATTGACGAGAGAGGGGAAGAGCAATTTCTATGCCTCTGCCTTAACTCTCCCTGCCTTCCTAGATCCGACCAGTGTTTTGGTTTCATCCACATATGCTTGTGAATCTTTGTTCTCAGTGATGAATTTTGTTAAGTCTCGTAATAGGAGTAGCCTGACGGATGAAAGTAGTAGCTCGTGCATATCTCTGAAGGTCACGAAATATAAACCTGATGTAAAATCTCTGTCATCAGTGATGCAGCAGCAAAAGTCCCACTGATAATATCAAACGGAGTCATAAAGTTTTCTGTCGGACTATCAGTGTACATGTATACATTAAAAAATAAATGTATTTTTCATCATCATATACTGTGTTTTTGTCGCTCGAATGAATTTTATTATTTCTTCAAGGCTCTTCACATACGTACACCTTAAGAGATATCAAGTAGGCGTAACATGTTCTCAAAAAATTAGGGTTGGCACGCAGAATTTTGAGTCAGAGATTTTGCTGGTTTTGGCACGCACTCACAAAAAGGTTGCCCACCCCTGCTCTATCCACTGAGCCAAACCAGCTAGGACTGTAATTCTTATTTTTAACATGTTTTTTAAATCTACTTAACTACACTCATTTAGAATGAATAGATTATTACATCTTCATAGCCTTTTCCTGTTTTGTAAAAGGCTTTGCCATATTTAATCCTCAGCAGCCAGATATGATAGACAGATAGTCACATTCTGATAGTAGGAAGAAACTGAGGCTCAAAGAGATTAATTTGCCTAAATGCTTTATGACAAGAAATTGAAGTGGAGGGATGACTCCCAATTCTACATGGAAAGAAAGCAATTACTTCATTGCTTAAGAGCAAAAGAAAAGCCTCAGATTTCCTATTGGTTGAAACAAAACAGAATATCTAATCTATAAATTCATGCTGTCTGAAAAGCAATAATCATTGGAGCCTGCATTTCTCTAATAGCTTTAATATCCATTAAAAAATGAATCATATTTGTTTTGGATCTCAAAGTATTAAATTTGAAAGCAAAAACAGGACCTATAAAAAGCAGAACCAGATTATTTTTTCAGAGTGGCAAATGTAATGAAAGGTGTTTCCAACTCCTCTATGATTTACCACTGCTGAGATTATTTCTTAACAAGGAAACACTTTTAAAACTATTTTCTTCCAAAGCTCATTTGCCAGATTCCATAAATTAGTTGCTACAAAGGACCTATATCAGAGAAACTCCAAACTAAACAAAAGGCTTTTCTTCCAATCTGAAAAGGTACATTAAATACACGATGCTGGCCACATTACATAATGATGGAAAACAACAGCTGATAGCCAGTTTGGGATACATGCCAACTGTTCCCATTTGTCTGACAATATTAAAATTAATTGCTACAACACTGTTTTCAAAGAAAATCATTATCTCTAAATGAGAAAGTATAATCAACTAAAATCCTAAAAAAGGCTCAAGATAATGGTGCCTCTCTGATTTACAATATTAGTTTTAAAAATATTAATGTTCTGAAGTAAACACATCTCAACAGCTTTATATATTTTCATATATTTTATTTTTTAACACTTATAATTTTGCAAGCTAGCAGTAAAATATTATCCTCAATATTTTACTAATTAGCACCGTATACCTTTTAAAGCTAACTGGAACATTGTTTCATTGTAAATGATTGTAAAATAAAATGATATCAAATGTCAAATTAGTCTCAAATAACATGTGAACCATTAATTTTATCAATATTTTTGGCTTTATGCACAAAGATGTATTTCAAAGATGAACTTAATAGTAAAATCAGTTCTGTTGATCTAACAAATCAAAGTACCACAGTGGAAGCAATATTTAATCTCTGAAATTATATAATTTAAGAGGCATATACGAAAACTGAGAAATCAGCTATAAAAAAACAAAAGATACTACATAACTTATATAAAGTTCCTTATTTCTTAGAAAAATGAGGACAATTCCATGGTACAAGTATCAGTTACACATATGGTTTTGTATATGTCAGTATCTTCCTGCTTTACTTAGAGGAGTTTGGCCTTACCAAAAAGCTATCAGAATGTTCAGGGTAATTCACAGGGACAGCTGGAAGCCTGAAATAAAATCGCTCAGTGCAAAAGATCCCAAGCCATTCATATAATTTTAAATGGAAGCCCAGACATTTAACTTCTATTTGTTTTCAACTAAAAAAATCTTTTGAAAATATGGAAAAATATCTAATTAACATATTCAAATTACTTGTACACATTAAAAAAGGGGGATTTTTCATTTCCTGTTTTGTGATAAGAGCATTCTTCAGAGCTATGGGGTTAAGTTCTCTTCTCAGCCACCACTGACTGCTTACTAGCATGCCTGTTTTGCATACCAGTAGAATCCAGTCCAGTTTTGCCATTTGTGGATAACTATGACAAGATACAAAAGCATGTGTATGCCATAAATAGCTCTGGCTAACAGCAAACTGCTCACACTGAGCAGATCAGATTCTCTATAAGGAGAGCAGTCTGGACCACAGCCAAACCCCACTCCTAATGTTTAAAACTGTTACATCAATTATTTTTTTTCCAATTTGTAAAATATATTAAGAAATAGTAGCTAAAATAAAAGTCTCTAAATATGAGAAGTATTATTAAACTTGTGGACATTTTACAAATTATTTTTATTATGGTCAAATACACATAAGAGCTTCCTGCTTCTACTACTTAACTACTTAAAAATGTAAACGTGAATTAAAAAATAATACCCTAATTTATCCAAAGAACAAATCAGGTATTGGAGAGTATTTATGTCAAAGTGCAAAAAAAAAAAAAAAAAAATTCTGATTTCCATATTAATTCATAAGGAAATAAACTAATGCTTATAAAAGTATCCCTCTAATATTTTTTATTAGTTGGCTTTAGGATAGTATATCTTTTAAAACTAAATAAACCCAACAAAACTGGAAAATACCATGCATGAATGTCGTATGAAAAAATTCTTAAATGACCAATGCCGAGATTAATAATAGCTGTTTGCTTCACATAACATTTGCAAAATGTCCAAGGAAAACAAGGCAACGTTCTGTAACATGCCACAATTTTTATTGCAAAGTGGCCATTTTTGTGAGGGTGGGGAGTTTGATCTCAAAAACAACGTTCCATTTAAGGCTCTTTTATACAGAAATTGCCATCATGACTGATAAAGTATCTTTAGTGTTGCAAGACTTACATGGTAAACATAAAACTCCTACCTACACTTAATCAGTAGTGTACACTCAATGGAAAACAAAAAGGCATTAATAACAGCTGCTTCTTTTCAGAAGATATGCAGGTAACAGGAATGAACACTGACTTACTTGGATAAGTTGATGACATAGTTAACACAACTTAATTGGCATTCCTTTTGAGGGTGGGAAGTTAAACTCAATACAAAAAAAAGTGCTCTCAATGCATAGTGTTATATCCGTGCTGCCATGTCACAAAAACAGGCTTGCCAAGGCAGGCGAGGTGTATGAATGCTGGAGCCTCATAGAACTGCGATCAAATGCAACGATAAATAATACTGAATAAAGTTTACCATCTGACCAGTGGATAATACTTTCAAGGCATTCAATTAGCTTACCCTTTGCAGTACTCTAAGCTATTCACATTGACAATCACATTCAGTGTAGTGCTTGCTGCAAGAGAGGCATGTAACCAGTTGTTTTGGCTATAATATCATGGGAAGGCATTCCTTGGGTTCTACATCAAAGTAACAGTATTAAACAGTCTAATGGCAATCACTGATAGGCTGCTTACACGAATGATATTTCCTTCATCCATTGTGTTGGAAGGACCCAGTGGGAAGAGGAAAAAAACAAAAACCTAATACTATTCCAATTGACTGAGCTGGAGAAATGGAAGCTCCTTAAGATCCACATGGCACTTGACTGTCATTTTATAAGGGTTTTCCTTCAAGTGAAACTACTACGTTGCCTCCCAATTTCTCTCCAAGTGTTGAACGGTCCTTTATGTCATCCAAGCCATTTACTTGCCACTCATGTTTAATACCTAAAAAGAAAAAAAACATGTATCCCATTACCTTATTATAATTAAGAAAGAGTAATTCCTCTGCACAAAATATTCCGTGTTTGTACCTGTAAATTTCTTCTTAATGGCATCTTTAGAGCTAGCATAAATCATCTTGCTTTTTAAAGGTGCACTTTCAGGAGCCCTACAGAAGAAAAAAAAAATTGTTGAATACCACTTAAAAGAAAAACAAAGGCAAAACTGACTATGTGAATAACAATCCTTGCATTTTAAAAGTGCTTTTTTCTTTTGTTTTTACACACCAGAATATAAATACTAGGTCTTCTTTCTTAGACTCTTTTGTTTCGTATGTGGCATCGTACAAAGCATATCGGCAATCATTCAGAGGTAGCAACTTCACAAAAGATGTGTAGGGGTCCTCTACAGTATCACCAATGTCACCCACCAAGATCTGCTTTGCTTCCTCTACAATTATTTGTCTTTTGTCATCGCTTAAACAGAAGAGAACTGCTTTCTTTCTTTTTTTGATCTCTTCTTGTGTAGACGATTTCCTTACTTTCATATCATTAAAAACTTTGATGACTTCATCATTCACTGTAACTCCAGAAGCCTAAAAATAAATAATAATAAAAAAAGAACAGTAAATCAGAACAAGTACTTTGGTTTAACCAAAATTACTATTCGCCTGGAGAGGATTCACTTTCGTCTGGACATCAAAAATCGCCACCTTCCCGTGCAAGCAGCCCGATCAGATTTGCCACATTTTAAGTGCCAGCATATTAATGCATCTAAGGATTCTCACTCGTCCTGCCCCACCCATCCTTTTAAAGGTGGTTTGCCGGTTGGAGTGAATGGGAGGTAGAGGGAAAGGGACAAATACAGGCTGTCCCATCCCTGAAATGTTTCCTCTTTCACTGGGTGATGTCAGAGCTTCGGGAGCAGCAGCAAAAATACCTTCTGTATTGTGTCAACTCTGCAGGCCTTAAAAAAACACACTTGGATTTCAGTTAATGCTTCTGCTATTTTTTTTCTTTAAAGTCCTCTAGCCAGTGCCGTTTCCTCATAAGGAAAGAGAATCAAGTGTGAACTCCAAACCGCCCACAGCTTCAACGTAACCGCCTCGCAGCGCAAATGCAGACACCGACCTAACGGGTCCGGTGCAAACGCCTTTCACCCGGGAAAGGGTTCTCAGCAGCCTTTTCCCTCCTCCCGAGCCTCCCCGAAAGGGGTTTTAAAATCACGGGCCGCCCAGCCCCTCACCGAAACCCCTCGGCAAGGGCGTCGGAGCACGTACCGATGTTAGATCGCGCGCGTTGAGCCAAACCGGGCAGCGAAGGGCAAACGCGGCGCGCGC